CCTCATCATTCCCACGCCCGAACAGTCTGAGGTGCGAACAGGCCGGCACTCCAGTTCGCCATCCACAGGCGCCTTAGTTGTCCAGCTGCGCAGTGGTGAACTCAGAACTTATGACGTGTCCTGGTGGGTGTCCCTTGGAAGAACTCTCCAAGGAATAGTGGATGCAGTCAGAATTGGTCTTGGAGGCCTTCGCCGTCGAGACCTCTTTCGGTTGAAGATGTGCCTCTTTGGCCAACGGTGTCTCGCAGGTCGGTTTGGACTTTAATGCTCTGACGCTATGCTTCTGGGAGAGATCCGCTCACATGATGTCTCGCAAGTTGTCCACTGTAAGCCCGAGGCCATGTCGAAGAAGATGGTGCCGGGGCTGCTCCGGGCGGGTTCGACAGCTTCCTAAGCACTGCTCTCCGTCCTCAAACTCCTCTGCCTCCGGGTCATTGTGGGCAACTGTATTGCCGGTGTCTCCATGTCCCATGAACAACCAACTAACGTCCTTACCAATGCCTTCCTAAAAGTCGCTCATGACTTATTGAAGCTGTCTCGCGGCGGGATATGCAGTTTCAGAGCAATGCGTCACAGAGCAAGTCAGCGCATGCTATCAAGCCTGCTCCAAGTAGTGATCCATGCCCGCATTGGCGCTGAAAAGAAGTAAAACATACGAAACATCTGTGAACCATGCGAAGAATGAGACATAGGAGCTTTTCGACCCGCATCGATTGGTTGAGACTCAGCCGGTGCAGTCTGGGCAAGTCTGTGCATTTTGCACAGTTCAGACAGGCTCGGATGCTCCTAGCCTCGGCAGGCAGCGCGCGCTCGAGACTGTGTCTTGTTTCTACATCTTGGCAGCATGATTCCGTCCGGTGCACACCCGCGAACCTTCCTCAAAGCGTCAAGAATGCTGCGGCCGTAGAATTCGCGAGGAAGAGTGAACAACGTAAGCATCGCTCCATCATGCAACTGCTACTCGATAGCGATTCTTGCTCCCAAGGCCCTAAACTCGAAGACCCAAAACCCTGCACTTCACTACAGTATACGACCACATTCTATAGAATGTAATAGAAACGGTGATGTACTATAACGATCGTAGTACATCACTCCCTCGTATCATGAGAACATAGTCAGTTATGGCAAGAACCGTTCGGGAAGCAATGATGAGTGATCGTGTTGGTCGCAGGTGTCCACAATAACAACTCCTGCAGCTCTTTCGCGTGTGTGTGTGTGTGTGTGTCTGTCTTTGACCTTCGAGCTTTGCTAAGGGCTTTCAGCTCTTGTACTTCGGACGCTCCAGACGAAATAGCTGCTGCGAATGTCACGCTGGACCAGGACTCACGCCAAGTCCACCGAACCACCAAGTAACAGCCAAAACCTAACATCTGTCGGACCAGACTCTAAAAGCCGCTTCAGGCTATTTCGGGATAGAAGGCTTGCAGCAGTGAATATTGCGCAAGCATCTGCTTTTGTCTTAAGCCGGCTTTCTTCATCCTGCAGACGTCTGCGTATGGCCGAGCCATGAACCATGGCCCCTCTTCTCGTGTACTTCACGCTCAGGATCTCTCTGAGATCTGCCGCTCTGCCGACCAGCTGCCTTCCAGGACCAGCAAATCAGCAGACCAAAGACCCACGGGGCGGGGTGACACGGAGCAAGTTCGGCAGTGGATATCATCATATGGTCCATGTCCCACAAGGATTTCGAGGGTTCAGGCTATCGACACTCACCGACACTCACTCACAGGAAGACCGGATGTTCATCTCGATAAGTAAAAAGGACCCCGACTTTGAAGCATGAGTCTTTTAGACCAAACATCCTCGTCCTCAATGTGGCAAAACCCTCCAAGCATCACAAAGCCAAAGCCTGCATGTGCTTTGCTTGAAGATGACAGAAGGGCTTTGCCCAAATCCTGCTGCCCGAAACCATCATGCCTCTCTCTGCAGAAGGATTGAAGCAACACTCAGCATGGCTAGTAGCATGGCTAGACATCGTGACAACATGTGCGAAAAATAGCAATGCTAGCAGCAGGAATTGCAACCACAAAATGAAATGAGGCTGGCAATGCACTAAGATAGGCCGTGCGGCGAAGATGGCTTGGCCAGCTTCGCATGGATAGGATCTTCCGATCTCGCGCCCTCGAGCCAGAAGGGAAAATATTATCACCAGACCCGAAGTCAGGCTCACCAACACAGACAATAACACACCCAAGTATTTATTATATTCGCATACCGAGCAACGGCATTAGCCGCAGGAGCAATGTTGTATACTAACACGGCATAGGCGAGGCCCGGTCTTGGTAAGCTTCAAACATGTATGAGGCACTGAGACTCATTGCATCCTTTCCTTTTTTATATATTCAGTAATGTGACACTGAAATGGGCAATTAAATTGAGAACGTGTTGTCATCACTTCGAGAAGTCGAGAGCCGTGATGGCTGCAGTGATGGCTGTGGCTTTCGTTTGAAGTGCCACATGGCGGCCGTGAGTGCTGCGCCAGCACCGAAAATGATCACTGGCAGAGGGTTGTCTTCGTCTGTCGCTGCTAGGCTGATGCTCAGCGGCAGCCACAGTGAGCAAACACCAACAAACGAGAATGGCGCGACAATGAAGACGGCCAACCAGCGAGAGGAAAACCGCTTCTCTATCAACGAGCCTAAAGTCCAGAGTGGAATGCTGACCCTCAGTGAGAATAGCAGGGCCAAGCCGACAATGCCCCATGTGACAAAGTGTCTTAGGCTCCAGATAGAGATGACAGGACGGCGGTCAATCGTCTCGGCCCAAAGAGCGATGAAGTCTGCCAACCAAGGCACAATGCAAAAGACAGCCGTGTAGACAACATATTGAAATGGCAAGCCGATGCCCATGCCGTTCGCAATTTTGGGGGCCACACGCTGACGGACTGATGCGTTGAACCTCTCCAAATGCGGATCAGACCCGTCTCCTGTTTCGGTCACCCAACAATCTTGGATGGCTTCGTAAACGAGCTGGCGGTCACATGGGAGTGGCTCACCGGTGCGAGGATGCACGTGCGAGTGACTACAACAGTAACACTTCGAATCCTGGACGCGAAAGCTTTCGAGTTGCTGTGGTACCTCCTGAAGCTCGGACATCAGCCCTATGCCAACATAGAAGGACAGCGGCACCAGCAGAGAACAGAAACCCAACATGGCCGTTGTGAGGGTCGACCCGCTGGTAGGGCCCCCAAGCACACCGTACCTGTACAGAGAGCAGTAATAGCTTGCTAACATGTGCCAGCAGCCAGCCGCCATCATCAGCAGTAGGGTTGTCTTCTGAGGAA